AGTCCGAACTTTGTACGAACAAATGCTGAAATCCAGACGCTTAGTGGTCTGTGTGTCTGTCTGTGTGCGTGTTTGAGAGGGATGGGGTGGGGGGGGGAACCAAAACTGAAATAATGGCACTTTAATTGTACACTTGGTTATTTTGAGCATTGAAGTTTTGGCCCCGGAGTGCTTGTTTTCATCTTCCCCTTTCTTTTACACAGCGGTGTCGGTTCAGGTTATAGGACTCTGTTTCTCATGTGTGGTGCAGATTTTGCTCAGAAGTGACTAGAAGGGGTGGAGGGTGACTGGGTGGGCAGCCCTAATGCACGCAGGCCCTGGTGCCAATGATGACTGGCGGTGCAGTTCCTGGAGGTACCTGCGACACGCGTGCAGATGGGCCGGCGCTGTTTAATGAGATGTCCCACACTAGGAGCAGGAGCCCACAAACACCCTTCGAATGGGCTCTGCTTCCACTGCGGCGGGCAGGGGCCCCGTGCTGTAGGGAACCAGCCCTTCTGGGTCACCCGAAAACGAGGGAAAGGCTGGGACAGGATTTGGGGAAGCGACTTTGGGTGAATCGCTCTCTCTGGCCTTTTCATTTTCTCTGGTGCAAAAACTTGACATGTGTGACTTGGTTGGTGTTGTCCAACGATCGTCCTGCGGCCAAATTTTAGCAGCTCCTTCAATGGGGCCGTGAAAGAGGCCATTTTCTGAAAGAAATGGATTATAGCGTCTTCTGTCAGTTACGCTTGTCAGGCATTGAGTGCACTATTTGGGGTGGGGGTGGGGGGCAGGGCATTGAGTAAACTTGACCCAGGGTGTCCTGTCATATGGTGACCTGGAAGAAAACCATAGGCTTCAATGGTTGGGCATCCCTGCTGCATACGTTTCTGTTCACTATATTTCAGTATGCCTAAGTAGAATGGTTGAATAATGCAATATGCAAACAGGAAAGAAACAGAAGATGATATATCTATATATTTTCTATTCTGTTCAGCTCTTTGTTTCTTCTGCTCCCTAATTAATATGCAATGGAGTGAGGCGTAGCCATGGTTACGGTCCTCTGACACTTTAATGCTGTATGTGCACATCGGTGGAGTGAGGAGATGTGGGCCATGACTACAGGACCTGACGATGATGGGAGGTTTATGGAGGCTGTTCTCCAGCACTGCTCCCTCCCCCCTTCCTCCCCCTGCTCCTGTCTGCCTTGTTCACCGAACCGCTGGGACAAGCTTCTTGAAACAAAGGCTCCTCCCACAGCCACCGTTTTACAGACTTGTGAAATTAATATCATACTTTCTTCTCTCCCACATTCCCCCCTCCTTTTTTTTAAACACTGCCGTCAGTTTGGAAGGATTTAGAAAGTATTATTTTTCAAATGTATAATGATGTAATGATGTACACGTTTCTGTTCTCTGTGCCCTTTTCCGTGTCTCTGTCCCATCTCTTAGTTACCGAGTTGATATACTTGTTTTGTTGCAGTATAATATCTTCATTTGCTGAACCATGCGATGCATCACTGTCTTTTACGTGTAGCTGTCACATTTGGTGCTGGCTTATGCTTCATTGTCTTAATATTCCAAATAAAACCATTCTAAGTGTAAACTGCTTTCCTTGTTTTTTTTTATTATTATTAAAAAAAAAATCCCTCATGGGATTTTCACTGTATTCATGCTTCTCCATAAAGAAAGGTATGCTTGATGGAGTAATGTAACATTACATAGTTTCCTCCTTTAAAAAGCCCTCTCATATATTACTTTGTGCATTTGTGCTTTGACATGTAAATCAGTTTTAATCCTTGGCCATTTGTAGTGATTAAAGCGTAATATCCTGAAGGTTCTCGTTTTGTGGCTGCTTGCTTGTTGCGGTTTTTCCATGTCTAATTCATTGCCCCCACTTCTTGCTGCGTGGCCATCGGGAATCCAGAAGCTGACTGAGCTGCGATGAACACCCTCCCGGCATGTCTACGTGGTGTTAAGTCCCGTTTGGCCGGGGCTCTACACTGCCGACCACCACGGTGAGGACAGACCGCGACGGTGACCCAGTCCGCCGCAGAACTCGGTGTGCCCTTTGCAAGTAAAAAAGTAAAAATAGCATGTAGGTTATCGGTTTCATGTTAGTCACCAGAGGCATATAAATAATTGAATCTCCGCTGAAGGAGAGATGAGATGAAGAGTGTGACTGTCAGAAGGCTTGAGTCAATCTGCAGTGTGACACTGGAAATGGCGTGTCTGGCGGGGCGACTTTTCACTGCGTGGCGCTTACTGTGCTGTCAGACCTCACTAATGACACCTCTGGGCCAATTGTGCTGTTTACTCCCCCGACAGATCACAGGAATGTCTTAAATGGGTCTTTTCGCTAGGGCCCTTGGGTGGTTCATGGGTAAGCATGACCTGGTGAGATTTGGTCTCGGATGACTGTTGTGTAGCTTGGTATTCTAGCTTGATGGTTGAGGCGCCTCTACTTGTGATTAAATGATCACTGGTTCGCATCTCATCCTCAGCGGAATAATCACATGTCTCTTGAGTCCTTGAGCAAGGCCTTTAAACCCCCTGAAATGCTCCAGGGTTGTCGGATAAATGGCTTTACTTGCCCCCTAAGCTTTGCCCACAGCTATAAATATGTGTGTATGTTTCAAAGTAGAGCAAGATGTGAATTCCAACATATGACAAAGCATATATATTTTTTTCATTTCACCATAGTCAGGGGCCTAATTCATGGTAGTTTTATATTTGTCTATTGAATTGACACAGTTCTAAATGGTGCATCCTACAGCCTTAAAGTATTGGAAGCCTTTTTTGGTGGGGTGGGGGTGGTGATTAATCGCATAAAAATTGAGGGAAATAATTTTGCTACAGACAGTGCTGCAATGCTTATGCATTGCGGTACTGCTGAGTGTGGCTTTAAGAACTAGGGCTCTCGCCTCACCTGTCTCTTCCTGCTGCTCTCCCCGAGACACTCCAGGACATCTCTGCGTCAGCGCCCCCCCCCCCAGCCTCTCCATACCGATATCCTCCTCACCTTCTGTCTGAGTTTGGGGTTTACGTGGATTGTGGCCCGCCCTGCATAACTCTTCTGGGCCGAAACGAGAAAGACCTGAGAGAAGAGAAACAAAGTCTCTGAGCGTTAGCGTATCGCCAATAGCTGTCTCGTATACTCTGGGCCTCATCCAAGTCTGTGGCAGCAAGAAGACCTCTCCCTAACCTCTTCCACACACACACGCACACACACACCATTCCAGAGATGGGTCCTCCCAATAGTATTTTACACCCCCAACTGCCTTTTAGCAGTGGGGACATGACTGTCAAAAATGGAAGCAGGTCCTGCAGTGCCTTATATACCCCACATGTTGACAAATGAGTAGAGAAAGGTCTGGAATATGTGGGACAGTCTCAGGTATTGGCAGTTTATCTTATGAGGCCATGTATTCAGCTTGTGCAGTCCTCAGGTTAACTAGGCTGTGGCTGAACATTGTTTTTGTGTTTGATGCCCAGGGCAGAACCTTACAGGAACTAACATGCTGTTCTGTTTTCCCCACCAGCCTTGTATAACAACTATCATTGCCCACACAGTGTGATGTGGCAAATCAATGCTAATCTGTTCCATTTTAATGTTTTTCATGTGGTCCTCGGGCTAATTTGTCAATAGAGTTTCCTCAGCTTTGTCGACACATCCATGACAGTCTCCCCAATCAAAGTTGACCCAAACATGATGTCATTGGTGGAATGGAAAATGTGGTGGGGAGGGATATGTTATGTCAGGGAGATATAAGACCTTATCAGTTTGCTTTGTTCTTCTGTCAGCGGAGAGCAATAATAATTAAAATGTGCATTTTGTGCTTATGGTTTTATCCGCAGATTTGAACCTGAGGCTAAATGCTTCCCCTCTATCCGTATGTGTGTGGAGGCGGAGTTGTGGGTTTCTGGTTTGGGCAGATGGGTGTTATAAAGCCCTGGAGATGGACTGCTGGATCTACTGGGCGTCGGCCAGGACCACCCATCGCTGGCTGGGTCTTGCTTATACGTCTATAACATTTTCCATCCTAATGTCTTTTCACCTTCTGCTTTCTGTTATTAATTAGGGTAAAATAGACACTGCACATTTCAT